GGGGGGGGTGGGGGGGGGGGGGGGGGGGGGGGGGGGGGGGGGGGGGGGGGGGGGGAGGCAATTCCTGATAACTCGAAACGATTTGTCCGGTCCCAAAAAGTTCAAATTAGCGAGTTTTCACTGTATGTCATTTCCCCCACGGCAGTTGCGACAGCGTTGCCGCATGAATTGTGGAAAAGGCTCTCACTCCTCCCTCCCCCCTTTCTGCCTATGGGTTATGCACTGACTGCAGCGATGGAATCTCTTGAAGAGAACTCGGTCACGCGAAGACTGGGCTTTCGCATGCGAGAGGATCATCGACGATCGGACGAGTCATGTCTGAAAGAAGACGCTCTCATCAGAATTCATGACACGGAGTTGAATGGAGGGGGAGATGGCTCCAGGGAGATAGTCATCAGACCGGCCACGTGTCGACCTTCGGCAACTACTTGTACGGAGCTAGTTTTTCTCTTCTCTTACGGTGGCTCCGTTTCGCTGGCTTTGGCTGCAACGAGACCAGCCAGTTTTATATCGGAGCGTGCTTCCACCATAGAATTTTCGCCACGATTCGAATTTGCTTTCGCGTACAAAGAGCTGAAGTGCCTAGTCACGTGGTCCCGTCATGGCAGGCCGGTGTGGCGCGTGCGTTCGTGGCATGTGGATGGCAGTGCACGTTTCTAGGCTATGGGTATTTTTTTCGGTTGGGGGGAAGCGGGTTTCGCCGGTTTTCAAGTTCTCATGGTTATGTTCCTCGTTTCAGTTCCTGTTGGATGTCGGGGTGCAGGCCCATTCGTCGATAGGCCGATCAATTTTTCTCCCTTAGCTCTTGACAGACCCAGCAGAAATTGCACAAGATGGCACTCAGGTAAGCATGTGGTTAAGATCGGTATAGCCTTTGATTGGAGTATGCCTTAGCGTTACATTTAAAGGTGCACTAGCTGTTAATGTTAGACGAATTTCTGAGTGAGCAAGTATGACTTCCAAGTCAGTTTTATCTAAAATAATCTAATTTCATGATGGAGGACCTCAACGGGAATCCATTTACTTAAGTCAGTATCCTCTCCACAGAAACCCCTTATTATTTGGGATCTGCATTATGATGAAATGGCCCATTGCTGGGGAAGTAATAGTTGAATGATATGCACAGACCTGTGTACCCAAGCTATGGAATATCTTCTTGTGTGTGCTAATTTTTCCCTCCATGAGAGATTTTGCTCATACAGATCCTCCCTCTTCACATCACGAGAACTGGAATCCCTTCCCTTTATCATGGCTTCACCAATTGGAAGAGCCTCATGTCCATGCTTGTACCTTGATTAGTAGCAAAAGCATGGTAGAATGGTAAAAATGGAAATTAGAATCTTTTAAGTGGTCCTGCTATCCATGGTGCATGGTCACATGCACATCCCCATGCACCTAGATTGCCAGTTGCATCCCTCTGGTCACTTCCTTAATTTTGCTTTCTTAAGTGTGTGCTCAGATGATAAGCCCCAGCCATTTTTCCTCCCTCCAGCATGCTTATGCTTCCTCTCCATGACTCTTCTATGCACTCCTAATCAGGAGTGAGAAGGGGTTTCAATCAATATTTGAATGAGTACCCAATCTCACCATCCTTTATGTGGGAGTCTCTATCTTGCAAGAGGGAAACAGGACACTCATGCAGAGTGCTCATTTGTCTTGGGACAAATATGCAATAATGAAATGAGGGGGTTGAATTGGGCATGGTGTGTTCAGGGGAGTTCCATAGGTTGAGGATGTACTCTTGAGGACCATACCAATGTCTCTAGTTCTAAAATTAATGTCACTGCTCCTTGGTCTTTCATTAGTAAAAAAGCAGTGTGCAGTGCACAATGCATCATGGAGTATGGCCAAAATTCAGATTGGATGGTAGTATGCAGGTTTGTTCAAATGTGCTCAAGGAAAAGGACCTAGGCTGACATAGGCTACATTTGACATGCATATGATCGGCCTATCTAGACTGCTATTTGTCATGACTAAGACTTTTGAACTTTTTTTTTGTTGGCCTCATGTTTGATAAACTTATATCATTCAGGGAAGGAATGCTGCTGGCTTTTGGGAATCCCCTCCTTGACATCTCTGCCACCTGTGATGAGGACTTCTTGCAGAAGTATAACTTGAAGGCAAATGATGCAATCCTGGCAGAGGAGAGTCATCTCCCCATGTACCCTGAAATGAAGGCAATGCCCCATGTTGAGTACATTGCAGGTGGATCCACTCAGAACTCCATGCGAGTCTTTCAGGTGGATTTTTGAACTGAAGAGATGAATTCAGTCATCAGATTGCCTTTGTATTCATTTTTTCATTTTGTCCGTATCGTCTTTTCAGTGGATCATTGGGGAAAAAAAAGTGGCCTCTTTTATGGGCTGCATTGGGAAGGACCAGGATGGTGACACCTTAAAGGAAAAATCCCTGGAGGCAGGACTCAATGCAGTCTTTCAGTACTCTGATGACAAGCCAACAGGTGAGATGAAACACTTTTTCAAAAATAAGTTTACAGAAGCTTTTAAAATATTGAATCACAATTAAATCTAGGAAGCTGTGCCGTCGTGGTGACGGGCGGAGGGAAGCAGCGCTCTCTTTGTGCCAACCTGGGGGCTGCCAGTTGTTTCACAAAAGACCACATTGAAGTGCCAGCCAATTGGGCCCTCTTGGAGTCGGCTGAGTACTTCTATATCTCAGTATGCTTGATGCAACTCTTCAGACATGGACAAAATAGTCATGGAAAATATGTGAAAAATATAGTTAGCTTATGTTGTAGCAGTGGGGATACAAATACATATTTCACATACTTAGTGCAGATTTCCCAAATTTAATTTTTTTAAATTTATTTTAAAAAAGAAAACCTATTTAGCAAAATTAGATGCATAGAAAAATATGTCTGGTACTTTAAGACACAGCTAGATTCTTTTGCTGAAAGTAATTTAGGTACACTTATAAATTATTCATTTTCATTGAACTTGCATATGTATTGGGATGTATTTTGCCTATCTGAAAATCATCTGCCTCCCATGAAGTGACAAAGTGGATGAATTTCTCACAGGGATACTTCTTGGTTGCAAGCCTCGAAACGGCACTGGAGGTAGCCCAAGATGCGTGCAAGAAGGGCAAAGTCTTTTGCATGAATCTCAGTGCCCCCTACATCTCAACAGCATTCAAGGATAGAATATTTGCCCTCTACCCTTATATTGACATCATCTTTGGTAATGAAGAGGTGTGTTTTAAATGTATATATTATATCAGAAATTACTGAAGTACCAAGGTGTTTGCATACTTTGATTTTCCCTTTAGATATGGTATCTATATCAGTACATTTTTTAGGTTTTCATCCTATCCTGCTTATCTCCTGGGAAAAGAAAAAAAAAACAAAACAAAAGGGACGAGAAAGTGTGTTTTATTCAGGTTATTGAACCTGACATGGAATATCCCCTTTTTTATTTAAGTTCCATGCTTCTGATCTCTACATAAAAAAAAGATGCATTTTTATCAAACTTATGCCATTTGTTTTTGGCATTGACCTGTTCCACAATTGACTCAAATTAAGGGATTAAAATTTTCCATTAGCCATAATCCTGCCCATTGTACCACAAGCACTTCATGCTAACAAACATTAATGGCATTGAGCTTTTCTCATTGAGACATTAATGCATGACTTCTATCAATGCAATAGGAAGCGCTGGCATTTGCAGAATCAAAAGGTCTCGGTGTGACAGATCCTAAGGAAATCGCATTGAGAATGGCTGAATTGCCCAAGGCCAATGAGAAGAGGGAACGAACAGTGATCATAACTCAGGGATCTGACTCTGTCATCATTGTTGAAGGTGAGCTCAGAACACTGCACTATAGCTCATCTTGACCTTTCATTGTCCACCCAGACTTAACCAAGGCTTTGTGATGACTTCTGTTGTATGTTGGGGTTGCAGGGAAGAGCTTGGTGGAGATTCCAGTGCCTCAACTAAAGCCAGAGGAGATATATGACACGAATGGGGCAGGAGATGCTTTTGTTGGAGGTGAGGTGCTGAGTCACTACACTACACTAAATGTATTGACTTTTTGTTGGATATGCCAACATCCATGATATTTAAATTTTAAAAAAGACCAATGACATTTAATCTTAATGTCTTGGCTCACAATGGAGCCATTTCCACAAAAATTTAGCCATGAATGCATGAGTATCTTTCCAAGTGATTCTTGAAATTCCATCAGAATTGTTGAGCTGAAGAATTTCTGTTAAAAGAAATTAGACATAAGGAATGGACAAATATAGCTAGGAATCCATATGCAACACTTGCGACAAACAATAACGGCCTTTTACATGACTCGTATGCAAAATGTTTAGAGTTTGAAAGGTTCTTATCCTGCTCTTGATGTTCTGACTGCTTGAAATCATGCCAAAAGTGTTTATACATAGGATTGCTCAGGCCTTTTAATTGATATTCATTTCATTAGTTTAGAATATCAGTGTCTTAGCAGATGGGAACTTATACTGAATAGTGTTCCTTTTTCTTGTTTTTTAATCCAAAAAATGCTGTGTTCCTCCTGGTACTTTTTTCATGGAAATGAGAAGGAAGGGGGTGGGAATTTGTCATCATGTAAATGCTTTCATATTGGACTGGGCAAGTCCAGCTGTTCTTCATTCCATGTCTAGCTCCTGTACTAACCTGTAGTCTTAATGAAAACATAGACTTCCATCATTCTATCTCATGGAATCTATGAAGCATGCAACTGACTTACGTTAACCCATTCAGGCACCAATCGGTTTGTCAGCCGACCTGATGCCTGAATGTACTGAAAAAATAGTGTCTGTGAAAGGATTAAACCTAGGTTGTACTGTATCTTCTCTCATGCCTGCCTCCTTTTCGTGATGATGAAATCGGATGCATTGGTGATTGCAGGATTCATGGCACAGTATGTGCAAGGGAAAAGCGTGGAAGAGTGTGTGAAGTGTGGGATATGGGCCGCCCAGCAGATCATCCAACAACTCGGCTGCACCTTTCCCAAGGATCTCAAGTATAAATCTTGAGCCTGGGGTCAAGCAGTTCTGTGCGGTTCCGATCCGGGACCAAGGAAGCGTCTAATAGTATGCAAATTGCCAATCCATTTTTATTGCAGAGATTATCACAGGATTTGTTATTTCACTTTTGGTGATGTTTTTTTTTCACTTTGGGAAGGTCTATTTCGCATTCAGGTCGATTTATTGCACTTTAGGAAATATTACGCCTTGTTCACCGAGATTATTGAATGTCACTGGCTGCAAAATCTAGCCCATGCCTGTACCTGATATAGGAAATAAAGAATCTTCGATTTCTTTCGATTCCTTGGATGTGAATTTTCGACACGGAATGGTAACGTGTACGACCGCATAAAAGCCACTTGGGAACAGTCCCCATGGAAAAGGCCCGACGTCTTCGCCGACTGAACAGGTCGAGCCGAACTGAACGTGCCGACCCACCAACTCGTCACTAGGGGAGCATTCTTGAATTCGACCAAGAAGGGTACGAAGGCAAATTGAAGAGATTATCGGTAGGTGGCAGTTGCCTACCCACCTCTGCTCTATGCTGCTGTGCGACAAAGGGTAAGAGTAGTCTGCGACATCAAGTCCTCCTCGAGCAGTTACTAGGGATGAGCGGGTCTCCGATGACGTTCCTCATCGCGGAATTCTACAGAAATTTTAATAACGCGCCATGAAGCCTGAGCGTGCGGAAACCGAGAGTCCGAGTGACGATCGGGTGAACCTTGCCGGAGACGAGACGTTCCAAGTCTGTCCGAGTCTCATTTAGCGCTTGGAGAAGATTCCAGGGAGAATCCCTTGCGGTGGATGTCATCGTCTGACCCCCGCACGTGTCGACCTTGCCCTCGTATGTGAGCCGCTGTCTTCGAACGACTCGATCGGGGAGCACTGCCACGAGGCTTCCTTCTGTTGACCTCGGATGTAGACCATGGAGAACGGCACTGGAGGCGATGGAGCACGCCAAGCGAGCGAGGCAAGGCGTTCGCCCCCCGTTTCAGCGCCTCTTGAATCTCGTTGAAGGAGGGAATCTTCTCCCTCTACCTCTCACGTCGACGTCCTAGTCGGTAACGAAGTGTGGCTCGTCGCCGTCATCTTGGGAGGTGCCGAGGCGCTAGCGAATTCCATGTGGCTTCATCGGCATGGCCGCTTGGTTGTCCGGCTTCTGGTGCGTTCGGCCGACTAAAATTTTTTTTTTTTTTGGTGGCCGGGGGGGGGGGGGGGGGGGGGGGGGGAAGGTAAAGGAGTAGAAAAACATTTTTTATATTTAAAAAGATGGAGATATGAACAGAAATGTTCTGGAATCGGTGTAAAGGAATTTGATGATGATTGACCATAGCGTAGTCTTCGGTGGACTCGTTCTCGCTCGCAGCTTTTAATGGCGTTCAACTTTCGAAACCTCGACACGTTTCCATTCCTGTAATAGGAAGCACTGGCATTTGCGAAGTCGAAAGGTCTCGAAGCGACTGATCCGCAGGACATCACCTCGAAGAAGGCAGAGACGCCAACGGCCAACCGGAAGAGAGAACGCACGGTGGCGACGACTCGGGGATCCCAACCCCTCCCTCGTCGCTCGAGGTCGGTTTCCGACGACGGAACGAGTCCCGCTCTTCTCGGCGGACGAGACTGACGACGTCGCGCTCGGCATCGCAGGGAAAATTGCTGCTGGCGATTCCTGTGCCGCGACCGAAGCCAGAGGAGACCTGCGACGCGAACGGAGCGGGAGACGCTTCTGTCGGCGGTGAGGCTCTTCAGTCGCTCTTGGGCGAGGCGAGGGCGAAGGAAGATCTTTCGAAATGGAATTTTCGTCTGGAAACGAAGTACTACATTTGTTCGATATGTTTCATTCAGGGGCCCCGTCCTAGCCATATTCGGGGTGATGTACATACGTTCGTCGCCAAAAAATGCAGGAGCAAGAAGGAGATAGCAATTTTGATAACGTCTGGCAATCAAGCTTGCACTAGTGTACAACAAAATCTATTTGAGTTTCGAGGGTGTAGGAGGAATAAATACGGAGAAAACTTGCCAAATGCTCCAATTTCAATTGGGTCATATCTAGGGCATATCGGTGGCAACAATTTGCCGGTGGGCCGATGGCCGAGTTTTCCCTCATGACCACCGGCCGGTGCCGGTGCCGATCGTGGCCTGTTCAAGAAATCTCATTTAAATTCAAATATGCTTGTGATAATCATCAGCAGGCCTCCTTGAAACGACAGAGATCACTTTTGGTCCTGCGTCCAGCTCGTATGTCTCTCGACCCATTGCTGCAGTTGAGAGCATTTATTGACGCATCCCTTGCAAAAGCATACAATGCAAATGGAGACGCGATGATTTCCCTTTCTTTACCGCTACTTTCCTCCGCTGGTTCCAATAATCTGGCTGTAGCATAATCCGATCGATATTTTTGCCTAGGAGTGGCCGAAGTGAGACAAGAGGGCCGGAAGCACGTGAACACCCTCATTTCATTTTTTTTCTCACTTAGCTCGTCCTTAGGGCACCGGCACCGGCACCGTTGCCATGGGCCGATAGCCGGTGGTACCGATAGTGCAACGCCGGCGGCCGATACCGCTGTTAGTCGATACATCGGTACAGCCCTAGTCGTATCCAATCGCCCGAAAAGGGTCACCTGCAAGGATTTCATCGATGAAACGCGGCTGGAAAACTCCTAAAAATATGGAGAAAATCAAGGAAAGATTGAAGGCCACGGCGATTAAAACTCGGTCACCCTTCAGACGAGGAATTTAAAAAAAAAGTGCTCTCCGCTTCAGCGAGTCGGTCGTCATCGCGACGGAATCAGCTGCATCGGCGATCGCAGGCTTCCTGGCGCGGTGCTTGGAGGAATGCGTGGCGTGCTGATCCGCCGCCCAGCGGATCAGCCATCAGCCATCAGCCATCAGCCATCAGCCATCAACCGGACTGCACCTTCCCCAACGATCTCAAGTACGAATCTCGAGACTCGGGTCGCACTTGCGACGCGTCTTCGACGGAGATTGCTCCCTGCGATTCAGATGGAATGGAGATTCTCGCAGCGAAATCCCGATCCGTTTTTCCTTGCAACATTGACAGAAATTCTCTTGTTTCCCTTTCACCGAGAATTTTGAAGTGTTACCGACCGCAAGATCTCAATCAATGGTACTCCAACCGCGGCCGGGGAAGACAAAACGTATTTTCCAGCGGGGTGCGACCCCTAGCTCAAAAAGTTGGAGTAATGCTTCTTCGGATCATCATGCTAAAAAAAAAGAAAATAATTTTTCATTTCTCTTCCACTTGAGCAGAAAATTTCGCCTTGAGAGAATAAATTGCATGTCCACCATGACGCTGTTCGTGAAAAGTTCCTCTCGAAGAGGCACGAGCGTTTACGGCGATTGAGGAGACTGATTTTCTCGATTGCCATCTAGGGACATTTCCCGAATTCCCCCAAGGAGGGGCGAAGTCGAAGACTGAATAATTTGTTCGTCCGAACAAATCATTGCTACAGTTTTCGGATTGAATTTCATATCCCCCTCCACCTCGGTCCCCCCCATCAGGCCAGTGGTCTCTGTGGAGGTGAAAGTCCTGGTTTGCGCTGGGGTTGTCTTGCCCGCGTGACTCTACTTCCCTAGGAGGGGTGTATCGTTACCTCGCACTTAACTCCTAAACAGCTGTTCATACTTCGACTTCGCCCCTCCTTGGGGGAATTCGGGAAATGTCCCTAGATGGCAATCGAGAAAATCAGTCTCCTCAATCGCCGTAAACGCAGGAAGTGACACCTCCCATTATGATGGATTTTTGAACGATCCGATAAACAGGATCCTCTGGTACGAGGTCCTCGCCCCTGGCTACATATTACAGAACGATCACAGTGAAGAGCTTCACGCTTGTCACGCTCGTCCTCGACAAACAGCGCATGCTTCATCGAACGACCGACGGGAGAGAGTGAAAGCAACGCGGGAAAGCAGCCTCACGTCGGACTGAGTCCGGAAAGCGATCCCCATCGCCCTTCCCGACTCGGATCCCGACCGTTGCTCCTGAGCTGCCATTGGCTGCCGGGCGCCAGCTGGTTTTATCTGCCCGTAGAAAAGCCTCCCGGACGATCCGTTGGGGTCCCGGCCGCTCCGAGCTCCACTCGACCGAGGACGGTTGTCGGACCCCCGACGGTTCACTGTCGTACTTTATGCCTTTTGTTGCCCACCGCCCGTCGTCTTGCCCGATGGTCGTCTCGAGACTCGCTGACAGGACGAGGGCGCGGAAAGAGACGGGTATTGTTGCCACCTTTGAATTTAACAAAATATGAACAGGTATTCTAAATATCCCCACGGGCACCTTAAACCAAGGCGCCAATCGATACTATGAAGTGACCTACTGCTTTTGACTTACGGAAAATAACGATATTAGCTGCTGTTAAGTTGTATTAAGTAAAAAAAATAATAAGTTTAAAATATTGTCACGATATTGTATAAAAGTACTTTTTTTTTGCTTTAATCCATAGTCCAGTCCCGAATGAGTGCATTTTCTCTTGTTGACGGGAGATGGCACCTCTAGCGCCGCGTAACTCATTCGCACAAACCGGTGACTGCCACTATCCTATTTGGAATGTTTGAGAAAGAGGATGGGTCCTCATGTACCGACCGTATGGCGGAAGTCAGGGATGTCCTCCCCGGTAGCTCATGAACAGCTGTTTAGGAGTTAAGTGCGAGGTAACGATACACCCCTCCTAGGGAAGTAGAGTCACGCGGGCAAGACAACCCCAGCGCAAACCAGGACTTTCACCTCCACAGAGACCACTGGCCTGATAAACACCATCTGGTGGCTGGTTGCGGACCCACGCAACCCCTCCATCTCTTCTCGACAACATCATGCGAATGAAGACAAACCATCTCACCCGATCATCGAAGTTTCTATATCCTACTCTGTATATGTCACTTTCCCCACTTCATATCCTTCTCATCTGTAAAGGGCATGTAATGTAATTAAAGGTCATTGAACAAAAAAAAAAGATTCGGAGAGCTTCGGACCGCGTCAACCAACCATAGGAAAAGAGGTACTTTACCCTCTGGCCTTCGTGCTTGACCACCGTCCACCCCGCTCCGGACTGCATTCGCTAACCGAGGAAACGAGGTTCAATACCCTCTACTTCCTCGTGCTGAATCACCGTTCAAATCCCCGTCGGACTGCATTCGCTAACCGAGGTAAACGAAGTTCAATACCCTCTACTTCCTCGTGCTGAATCACCGTTCAAATCCCCGTCGGACTGCATTCGCTAACCGAGGTAAACGAGGTTCAATACCCTCTACTCCCTCGTGCCGAATCACCGTCCAAATCCAAATCCCCGTCGGACTGCATTCGCTAACCGAGGAGACGAGGTTCAATACCCTCTACTCCCTCGTGCCGAATCACCGTCCAAGCAGTTGACTTGCCCCGGCTTGGGTATTGCCCCTGTTCCCCGTTGGTTTGTATTGTTCGCATTCGCGTCGGCCTCTCCCCTTTCGGGCTTTGGGAAAGGATTCTGTAATTGGATTGGGTTTTGTGCACATAGAGCCGGCTTGCCCGGACTGGTCTAGAAATAAGGAGATTGTATTGTCTTGCTTCCGGCCTACTAAGGAAATTGCTTTTGTTGTAGCTAGAGGAAGAAATCACATTAAAGGAAGAAATTGAAGTGTTCGACTCAGGTGTCTTTGAGTTTTCGTTGGGTTCGCCCCGCTCCTAAGGCCTCCTTTACGGCCACAGCTACCACAAGTGTCGGCATCCGGTCCGCGGACTGGAGGACGGACCTCGCCCGTACCCCGCACGACGCCGGATTCAGTACTCCGGGCGGGTACCTGACGAGATAGGCCGCCAAGGCCGTCACAATATGGACAAGACAGTGTCCATATTAGGACCAGTTCGCCGTATGGACATTGCATCTAAAATATTTACTGTCCATACTAATTATGAACGAGTGGCAATTGACACTCCGGGTAGCAATTGGGGGATTCCTCCCCCTCTACGAGTTACGTCATAGCTGGACACGAGGACGACTCCGCAGCATCTTCCTGTATTCTTTTAAAATAAATCACGCTCATGATGAGTTACGGGATTCACATAGAACAAAAGAGAGACGTAGACACATTTCGAGGAACTTCCTGGCGGGGCGTCTTCTACGATTCATGATTCGTCAGCATAAAAGAACGCGCTCTGTCTGTTTTCTTAGAGTCACGCATGACTTTCGGGCCTGGTAGCCTCCCCGTTAAGGCTTAAGGTCGTATTCACACGTTGCGTGTCACGAGTTCTTAGCTTGATGCGGGCGGACGCGTGACACGTGAGGTGTGAAATGCCCTTCGCTCTGGGGAGAATGCTTCTTTCGTTCTCCATTGCCCGGGGTTGAATGAATTGAACTGGGACAGTGTAGGCGCCAATCACGTGGTTCGTTTCCCTGGAGTAACATGGATGCCCCCAGGGATTCGTGAGGCTTCGCGAACTATTCTTCCCTTTTTGCCTTCCGTTCGACGAATCCGTTAAGATTGCATGGAAGCCGGCGGCTTTCGTCTTCCCGTTCCCAGCGAGGTGAGGTAGCCTACCCTAGGCCGTGGACTTTGGTTCGGCCATGGAAAAGGGAAGTCCGGGGCCTCAAGTTTCCATGAGAAAATTCTCGGGGATGAGCAGGCCTCAGATGACGTTCCTCTTCAAGTCGCTCATCGCAGGAGGTGAGGCCATGTCCGATCGGATTGGGTTGATGCGTCTAGGCCTGGGAACAATAGTAATTGGTTAGGCTTAAAGTGAGCTTCGTGCTGAGTATAAGAAAAAGGCAGACAAAGATCGAATGGGGTGGGAAAGCAGCCTCATCTCTTGAGACAATTTTTCCCAAAGGTTCTGATGTTAGAACATGCAACTATGGTGCATTAGGAATTTGGTACTCTTCTCACCTTGCATGGTGGAGGCTGTCTCCCCTACGTGATCAACCTCCCAACCCCATATCCTCCTGGTCACTTCATGTTTGTCAATGACATGCCTATCTTCCTGCAACCCCTTCAGGGTACTCTTTCTTGCTTTGGGAGCATAAAATTTCAGGGAAAGGTAGAAATGTCCTTAAGCTCATTATGGGATGAACCCTCACTCTTCTGCCCCACATTTTTCTCAAGACATCCCACAATCTTGTGCTGGATTCAGGCCTGCATTGAAGGCAATATTTCTTATTGATCCATCATGGCCTCTTTTGGTTGGGACTTCACACTGAGTTCTAATCCAGGAACCAGCCATTGTATATCCACATTTTTTCCTTCCCTTGGCATTCAGCCAATACAAGATAAATAGGGTGTGAATACCAAAGGGTTAAGTTCTTTTTCTGTCTTTAAGTAATGACCTTTCCAAATAATGACGAGTGAGAATTTCACAATTTTGGGTAATGCTTATCCAGTTTGAGAAAGGACCTCTCTTAACCCTTTGAGGAGTGAGTTTTCTTAAACCTTTTGGGAGCATGAATGTACAGGTGCTTTCATACTCCTCAAAGGGTAATCTAAAAAGAGCAGCACAAGTTTTATAAGCCATAGGTTTATGTCAAAATCTCCCTTCTGTTTCCAAAAAAAGAAGCTTTTGGGACTCACTCAATGTGGAACCTTCCCATTTTTTAAGATGCAGCACTCCAACAGGGGCTGATGCTGCTTTGTCCCTTCTGGGATAGGACCAACTTTAAATCAGAAAAACAATTTTCTGAGTAGCTTTTCCCAGCTCACATCCATCACTTGAGTAACAGCCCATTCATTTTAGTAACTTTCTGTTTCTATGTATCAGAGATAACATTGACTTCATGGACTCAATTTTGTTCTCTTTCACACAGGACTGGCAGGAATGATGGCAAAGTCAGCTGTAGCACCCCTGGATAGGCTGAAGATCCTCATGCAAAGCAATTGCCCTCATTACAGCAGGTTCAATCTCTGGTCCTGCTATAGGGCTGTATTGAATAAGGAAGGATTTCTCTCCTTTTACAAGGGCAATGGTGCTGCCATGATCCGTGTCTTCCCTTATGCAGCCATTCAGTACACTGCCTATGAGCTCTTCAGACCAGTATGCTTTTTTCACTGGAGTTAGATCTTACAGATACAAATTGTCATTGACAGTGGCAATAGTATTGATATTTTCCCTCCCGATTGCAGTTGATGCGTGCCTTGATGGGACCCCATTCACATATAGGGAACTTCACAGCTGGAGCAGCAGCTGGCACTGTGGCTGTGACATCGACGTATCCCCTGGACATTGTGAGGACCAGGCTTGCCTTTCAAGTCAAAGGGGAGCATGTTTACTATGGTATTATGAATGCACTTCAAAAAATGTTTCATGTGAGTTACCCAAAATATTATCATTTTAGGAGTGATATATAACCTATTCCCTTCACTGCATTTTTTATTGTGGAGATATTTTGTTATATATGTTTTTTTTTTTTCAGGAGAATGGATGGAGAGCATATTACAAAGGATATGCAGCAACGGTGGCTGGCATTCTTCCATATTCTGGGTCATCATTTTATTTTTTTGACCTATCTAAGCGAATCATGTTGAAATACTTCCCCAAGCAGACAACAACTGTGAATGAGGAGAAAGGAGGTGAGTCTTTAAATCCAAGGTACTTCCCCCCTATTATGAAGACATCATGTTTATGTCACAAATAAATGTCAATTAGTTTCAAGACAAATTTTCCTGATTTCTTTGCTGCAATTGCTGTCTTCACTCCTATTTTAAGTGTATCTTATTCTGTGTTCTTAAGGTCGATTGGAGTTATCGATTTGGGCCAAGCTCATATGTGGGTGCCTGAGTGGAGTGATTGCTCAGACGGCTGCCTATCCAGTCGATGTAATCCGTCGGAGGATGCAGCTCATTGGAATGCATCCAGCATACGACCACTACAAGTTGGTCTCATGTTTCTCTTTAATGTAATTCTTTAAAGATATGGATTAGGTGAGAATGCCTGCTTGTGGGCAAAAAAAAATAAGAATCATTTGCATGCTTACTTTATACTTAGCTACCCAACTTACACCAGATTGAATTAATATTGGTAAGACAAGTTATTTGGTTTTCAGTAGGAGATGAAACCATCCATTCATGGTTTCTTGTCTGTGTATCCATCATATTGGAGACATTGTTTTGTATTACTTGCATATGTTGTACCCTCAGTGTCCTTTGTTAATGAATGAACTTAATGAGCTCCCAATTTCCAGTTGCAGTGGGCAGGTATGAACACTTAGGGGTTGCAAGTCATATGTCTCCTAGCAATTCTTAAGATTATGGCCAAGGTCAAGAATATGAGGGATCAGTAAGAAGCATCCCATTAAAAAATAATAATATGCCTCTTGAGTGGATATAACTCTTTCATTTTCCTGTTCTTTGCCGAGAATTCCATGCTGCAATCACCAATTTTATGTAGTTGGAAAGTATCTTAACCCTACTCCTGCTGCATTGATAATGTCACCACTGCTGGATTGTTTGTGCACTCAACCTCAGTGATGTAGTCATACACAAATAGCTCTATCTCCTTCATTATCCATTGTAACATAATATAACCTATATCAAACATCATGAGAACCCCCTCCCCTATCTAAAACTCCTTTTAGATATGTATACTGAAACCTGGAATATTCTGGGACCCACAGTACTAGGGATAATTTTCTTTCATTTAGTTTGTTATACATATGGAACTTTCAGGAATTGCTACATACTGATGGAGGAACCATGGAAGAGTTTGTCCTACCCATTACTTCTTCACCAGTTGACTTTTTAAAATGATGTATTGTACAATTTTATAGAGAACTCCATCAGGTATTACTCCTTCCTACATCACACATATGCATTAGTCTTTATTGCTTATTATTTTTGTATGAAACATTTGCAAGTGACTTTTGCTTGGATACAACACACCTCCCAAGAACAGGAGGTAAGCTGGCAAGACATTTTCCTTGAACCTTTGAGCACCTAATACACTTTTAGTCACTTAGCATGAAACTTAGAACATGGGTCATTGTGTTACAGCTATTATGGTGTATGTGATTGATGAGGTGATTCTGACTTGAGATGTGCTAAAGTTTTTCTGAGGGCATGAACTTATGCAGCAATGCATGTCTGAAATTGGAGGTTCTCAATGGAATGAAGCATTTAAGAACCTTGAAGCCAAGTCAAACCCTTGACAAATGCTGCACGGAGTATGTAGAAGATGAATGGATTAGAGCTATAGTTTCTCATCCATGGATCTGTGACCTTACCATAAATGAGAACTAATGTTTTCAAAGTTTGAAATAGTGTCAACCTAAGGTTGGGATGTCTGATTGTGTAGATGGGATGTTTGACTTAAATCATCATGGCTTAGTTTGTTCCACAACTGTGTGCTCCTTGCACATTGAAAAACCTTTGTGATTAAACCCACAATACAATCAGAGCAAATATTAATCACATTTAGGTGTTTGGCTGCCATAAGTCAATGATGGTGGCATCTGGACCTCCAGTGCCAATCAGAAATCTTCTGCAATTTCCTAAAGCAGCTGCAAGAGGTGATGTTTGGTAGATTTGGGCTTCATAGATTCATGTTGAGCCAGCCTTGGGAACTATTTGGCCTGTGGACGCACTGTGAATGAGCAAATGCCTAAAAACAAACTTTTTGCTTACACCCACCCCCTCCCCACTATGCTTTGCCTTGTGACACTTTTTTTTAGACATTTTTCTACACTGAAATGCATTAGACACTCAATAAATCAGTGTCCAGCCTCTTCTCTCCAGGCAAAATTGTTGAAGGTGGCTACTCTCATGTCAGAATTTTGCAGACAATTAAGAAAGTAAACTTTTCATGCCTTCATTCTTCTGTCTATTACAGCCATTTAACTAGGGATGTTCTTTAGGACAACATTCCTTAGTCCACCAACATGGTATAATTTTTTTTAATGGTTTATCTCTCATCCTCTCATGCATAAAAAAAAACTCCCATCATGGACTCCTACTTTTGATATTCATGTAAGACAGTGACATCAGTATCTCCCGATTCAATCTAGATGAGTTTGGTGATTTTAATAGAATATGAGGTAATCATTCACAGAACTTGAAGTTTTCCCTTTTGTCACTTCAAAAATTCCTTGTTTTTCTAAACACCAATGCCATAGTCAAATTACTACTATTGCTTTCAAGAAAGAAGTTGAATTGATGCCTCAACTGTAGGGATGGATTTACATATATGGTAATCATGAACCCAAGATTATGCCATTGCTTAAATTATTTTGAAATTGAATTTAATGAAATACTTGGAGGTTTTGATTAGACAGATTGCAAAATATCAATAAACCCCTTTAATTTGTCCACCCTGCAATTACTAGGATAAACCACTAACTAGTCAGCAAAATGCACACCTATGTAAAGTTTAATAATTTTCATTAGGGACTGATTAATGTTATACCCATTTGTGTCTTTCTGCATGCATTGTCAATCTTCACCAAGAATGGTATATCTGGATTTCAGCACAGCTATGTGGCGTGTTGGGGTGATTGTGTACCACGAAGAGGGAATGTCTGCCTTCTACAGAGGCCTTTCCCTCAACTACGTTCGAGCAATACCAATGGTCGGCATATCGTTCACTGCCTTCGAGTTCTTCAAACAGCTCCTCAGGATTGAAGAGCACGCCCCTACCAGCTGACTATTATATATTTCCACATCTGCCCCAGTACAAAACCAGGCTACTGCTGTGATGTGCATAATGACATGTGATAGTCCAGGTGATAGGTGTCAAGAAATAGAATCTCTGAAATATTGTCCCCTTGAACCCTTGTCCATATATTCTTCAGAAATCATTTTGGTTTTCCATCGAGGGTAGGGAATCAACGGCTGACGACAGACATGACCTGCCAGACTCTAATGAGGTTGTCGGAGTATCCGGCAAAGAGAGTCTGGCCATCAGAGGACCAGGCCATCGACAAGCATTGTGGGGGTTCCGCCTTGGTTGAAGTTGAAATCACCTCAGGCTTCAATTCATCCACCATTGTTTTTCCTTCCAAGTCCTGGAAAGAATACAATAACACATGCTCCATATAATTCAATTTACTTTCACAGGCCAAGCACTTAAGACCTTCAGAAATTTAACTGCACCTGAACAATAATACTTCACAATATGCTCAGGATGCATTCCTGAAAATTCAAGCATATCACAAGTCTGCGCTTTGCATAATCAACACACATAGTAGCGTACATCTACTATGGACAGACACTCCTGCAACACACTCATTCACAATAGGTTTGGTTTTTCAGGAACGCATCCCAAGCATATGGCAAGGTACTACTGTAATGCTAAAACGAATTTAAGCATGCATAGGGTATTCATTCACACTATTTTCTAGATCCATTCATTGATTTTCTTCTCCAATACAATGGACAAGTATTCACCAGTACTGCTAAATTTTGAACTTCCCCTGGCAAGTAGACCAAGAATTATGATCAATAGAGTATGACCTAATTTTAGGAATTTACATTTCATTTCTTGCACTCTCATAAAACATTAGTACCAGTGGGCATATTTCCTTTCAAAGGGTAATTGCACTCAACAAACTCTAAGACACTTCTAATCTTAGCACAATGTTTACCTTAGACTTCACTAACTTAGAATACACTGGATGAACCAACCCACAACCCAATTCAGGAAGTGGGGAAAGCCATTCGCTATTATCCCTCTATGTAACAAATCTTAAAATCATGTTGCAACATTAGCTTGCTTTGGAGGTTCTTTTGTGCAACCACTTTGTGCCCTGCTCAACTGAAGAGCATTGCACTAAACATGCAAGAAAAAAGTTGGTAAGTAGCTTGGTCAGGTCACTCCCAATTGTTGCATATCTGCAACTCTAACACATATAGGGATATGAGCATTTTGAATCCCAAGATTGCAAGAACAATATGGAAAAGTACCCAATGAAGAATAACTACAATGATTAATATTCACATTACTTTGGAAAAAAATTTGAAGCTGAATTTCATGCATCTTTTGTGCACTGTTTAGAAATTCAAACAGGGTGAAGGAACAGGTGACAATATAGTTGATACTAACTAAAGAGAATTTGAACAAAACCCTACAGGGCCATGCATATTGGATATAAGATTGAAAGGACTCCTTACCCAAATCTTGATGCTGGGTCCAGTTGCGACACAGAGCCAATACCGATTTGGCGAGAAGCATAGCCCATTGATGATCTCTGTATGGTCCAAGGTGTATAGATGCTTATTATCATTTAGATCCCACAGCATAGCCTTGGTGTCCTTGCCCCCTGATGCGCAAAGGGACCCATCAGGCGAGACAGTCACCGTGTTCAGGTAGCCCTTGTGCCCAATGTGATTCGTCTTCAGTCGGCAGTTGGTCAGGTTCCACACCTGATTGGATCAACGGATTTCATCTATTGATTCAAATAGTCCCAGTTGAAAGACCTCAAAGAATATGATTCTGTACCTTGACCAGCTTGTCCCATCCACAAGAAACAATGATAGGATTGTTGTTATTGGGTGAAAATCGGACACAGGACACCCAGTCAGTGTGGCCATCTTCCTGCAATCAGAAGGGAATCATTTCACCAAATGTTTTCAATAGAGATAAAATTGAAAATTGAATGAACATAAAAATTGCCATGGTACTGACTTGAATAGTGAACTTGCACTGAGCTAATGTGTTCCACAGCTTGATCGTCTTGTCTCGGGAACCTGACACGATCTGACGGTTGTCAGCTGAGAAGGCCACACTCAAAACATCCTGTGGAAGATACAACCGAAATGTTACACAAAATGAAGCCCAGGAAATAAAAAAAAAATTACTTGATGTAAGCATTGCAATCAGTCCCATATCCGCAAAGAAAGAGCATCGTCACAATTCTCTCTGATAATTGAAAAATCATCATGTGCATAAAGGAAAAATTTGCAAAAATAGGAACAGCAGCCTACCTTTGTGTGATCTTCAAATCTCCGAGCAGTTCTACCCGTGGTAAGATCCCAGAGACGCAGGGTCTTGTCCCAGGAACCCGACAGAGCAAAATGGCCGTCACTAGATGTCACAACGTCTGTAACAAAGTGGCTGTGCCCATGCAGTCGCTTCTGTGGGATTCCATAGTTGCCCATCTCATCTCTGGTTATCTTCCACATGATCAGAGTCTTGTCTATCAGGGGAAAAAAAAGAACCTAGCAACATTAAACAAAATAAACTCTAACGTTAGAAGCATTAACACTGGAATAACAAAAATTCATAATGTTTTTTAATGAAGTGCAAAACATAGGTATCACGTACAAGCAGGGTGCTAATAGGTTCATACAAAACCATAGCAGCATTGCAAAACAGGATGAAACACAAACAAAAGTGACATGCAATGAATTTGTTACCCTTACCGAGAGCAATGTCCTACTAGGGGAGACCAAAGGAAATAGTGTCTTCCAAGAGACAAAAAAGCATTGAGCTGACGCTAGTGCTGATACATCTTCCATTCTAGATTAAGTACTCTTTTTCCCAAAAGAGAAATATCAGGGAACCGACTCACCGCGAGATGCAGACAAGATCGTGTTGGGATATTTCGGATTCGTTGCAATCTGTGTCACCCAACCGTTGTGCCCTCGGAGGGTGCCCCGAAGGCTCAAACTCATATTCGGCTCCGACATTCTCTCCTACGTTTCGATTCCTCTTCAGAAAATAGAAAACTACAACTCTTTCAGAGGGAACGATGGTGGACAACAGCGGTGGTCTACGGCAGCCACCGAGAAAGAGGGCCACTTCCTCTACGTCACCTGGGGTGTCGTCTGCTCGAATTCCCAATATTTTCCATCTTCTTTCAACATGAAGAGTAAGACAGTGCACCTGCATATTGTGACTGTAACTGAATATTTTTTTAATTATGATTAAATCGGGCTTAGTAAAGTGTCGCAAACCATTTTTTCCGGTCTGATATAACACTGCTCTAGGACTAACGAGCGTATTTCTAATGTCGAAGCTGCCCGATACAGTGACGTCTGATGACGTCATCCGCCAGTCGGCAGCCATTTCTGCGGCCTCCGTGACATCTCGCTTGTGGCTTGTAGAAATTTTTCTCCAGGAACGAAGATGACCTCATCGATATCTATTCGCGTTTAGATACTGCATGCTAACATGTCGTGTCTCGATTTGGAGGGCGTTAGAGTAATTCCTGCCTGGCTGGTGTTAGCGAGTTTCAGGCATTAACCTGTGAAGGTATTGTAAATTAGTACTGGTGGATTAGCTGAGAGTCGTGCCCGGATTGGAGACCTCTCATTGTACGCATTCGTTTACTAAAGTTGAATTGGTGGAGTATAGAATAGTTTGGGCTTCATCTCGGCTAGGGTAATGGAAATTTTTCCCTTCTCAGAAGCTTTAATTAATTCCTGTGTACTTTCCTCAACCCTATAGATCATTGGGTAACGTTAGGCTTACTTGCCGTCTTAATAGTCTATGTTATCTCAGCAGCCCTAGGCCTTAGCATTACTGGAGTCAAGGCTTCCAGCCGACTGTGAACGACATTGTTGATGTTAGACTGTGATCTTAATGTTAGGCATTAGTTATGCATAGGCTTAACGTTAGGCGCATGCATAGTAATGAAACGGGATTGAAGAATAATTCATCTTAGGCTGGGCCTGTCATTGGCCTTTTATTTTGGTGTGGTGAAGTGAAGAAGAGGGAAATGTCAACGAAACCCATTGCCCTTGATGATAAGTCATCTCTTAAAGAGCTTGATCAGTGGATTGAACAGCTGAACAAATGTGAGCAGCTTCCTGAAAACCAGGTCAAAACGTTGTGTGATAAGGTGAGTTCTCTTTGGTAGTTCCTGTATATTCAGGCTTACCATTCTTAATGATTTCTTTGGAGGTGATCCGAAAGAGAGGATAAGTATTGTTTTCATTTAGGCAAAGGAAATTCTTGCCCGTGAGTCAAATGTGCAAGAAGTGAAATGCCCCGTGACTGTGTGTGGCGATGTGCATGGACAATTCCATGACCTCATGGAGCTTTTCCGAATTGGAGGAAGGTCTCCGGATACCAACTACCTCTTTATGGGGGACTATGTTGATCGTGGTTACTACTCCGTGGAGACAGTGACATTGTTGGTTGCCCTCAAGGTAAGAGATATTTTAAAAGATTGTTGGGCCTTTTCTCGTTCCCCTGCTTTTTGTGTAGAAGACTGACTTAACACATTTGTGTTTCTCTTAGGTCCGCTTCAAGGATAGGATAACAATCCTCCGGGGAAATCATGAGTCCCGACAAATCACCCAAGTTTATGGCTTCTATGACGAGTGTCTGAGGAAGTATGGTAATGCAAATGTATGGAAGTATTTCACAGACTTATTTGATTACCTGCCATTGACAGCCCTGGTCAACAGCCAGATATTCTGTCTTCATGGAGGACTCAGCCCATCAATTGACTCCTTAGACCATATCCGAGCTCTAGACAGGCTACAGGCAAGCCATCCCTAAATTCACTTGACTTATCAGGGCAGGCTTCCACCTGAAAATATGGCTAATTTGAAATAATTTCTGTTCAAACATTTGCTTGGGTTCCAAATAATTTTTTTCCAACTAACTTCAGCTAAATTTCATACTGAGAATTTATTTTGCAAGTGCAGCACAGTTCTTTACATAAAACTCACTTACATCAGCTTCGTTTGAATTGGACTAATATATCATATCAGGCAAAGAATCAGGTGGAAGTTCCTTTCTCTGGAATAAGGTTACTTTTTGGCATATCCAATCTGAAGTTTCACATGATTTTAATTGTTCTAATCTGCAGGAGGTGCCCCACGAAGGCCCAATGTGTGACTTGCTTTGGTCAGACCCAGATGATAGGGGTGGTTGGGGCATTTCCCCCCGAGGTGCCGGCTACACCTTCGGCCAGGATATTTCAGAAACCTTCAATCATTCTAATGGACTTACTCTTGTTGCTCGAGCGCATCAGCTCGTCATGGAAGGCTACAACTGGTCTCTCCTTTTTTCACATTCTCCATTTACTTCTCTTTGGATGTGGTTCAGGATTTTTCAAACCTCTTTGGTTGTTCTTTCAGGTGTCATGATCGGAATGTGGTGACCATCTTCTCTGCCCCTAATTATTGCTATAGATGTGGAAATCAGGCAGCCATTATGGAACTAGATGATACCCTTCATTATTCTTTGTGAGTTACTTTTCCATTTTTTAATGAAAATTTGTGCATGGAAAGGCTTACAGGCTTCTTTAAAACTGTCCTTTTCTCAACTTTTTGCTACTGGAACCAGTGTCTCTTGAACTTAATCACCCTACATAAAGAGAACAAAGCTCCAGGAAGAGTTAATCAGACATTGAAATAACTAAATCCAACTGAGTTAAAACCTCAGAAATAAGTATACTTGGTTTTTTTTTTGGCTCAAAAGTTTGTTCCTTTCATTGAAAATAATAGTTTATTGGAATTATTTAAAAGATTAACTTATCTATCGATACATACCACTTTTCCTCACTTTTAACATGATGATCACTGGAATACTCTTTCCATGTGAAGGTCAAGGAAATAATTTTTGCAGAAAGACCACTTTGCCTTTCAGCCCTTCATTTCTCCATTTGGCCCTTTTGTTTCCTCCATTCCAAGTACTGGGCAGCTCAGTGATAAGATATAGGACTGTTGTGTCAACATTGAGTCATTTGCTAAGCACAGGAAACTGACTGATCCATCTTTGTGTATGGAATACAATTTGTATATGAAGTAATGTTAAAACCATCTTTCAAAGACTTTCCCTGTCTTCAAACTCTCCCCCCCCCCCTGCCCCCACTCCTCTATGGGAGTCACAGATGTTAGGCCTAGGTCTAATTGATGGACTGCCTTCAGGTCACACCAAGGCCTACTTTTTTCTTTCAAAAGAAACTCACCTCCCTACCTTCAGGGAGCTGCACTGTCAATCTTATATTTAAAAGTATGACTGCAAGTAGCTTTTCCATTCCTGTATGGAAATCCAGGTATGCATAATAGAGCGAGGTCAATGTTGTTATCCTTAATGTATGGATACATAGAGCTCTAACTCTGCTTCTTGTTCTTAGTTTGGCAAATTTGACCTAGGCCTATTCATAGCTCTTTGAATCAGCAAAAAGGAATACCACATTCAATGAGCTAAGATGATAGCCCCTTTTCCTTTGGCCAATATTTTAAACTTTGAATTGTATAACTTCCAGATATGCAATTCCCTCTTAATGGTGTTTGTATTGAGATAGATCATAGATCATTGTAATGATCCAATGGGAAGCCTTTGGACCATTCCCATAATCTATTGAACCCTTTTCAGTCATTAATTCCTTTAGTTCTCACTCATAGGCCTTCATGAGCAGTCACAAAGACAGGTTGTCCCAAAAATAAGGATACCCAGGGACTTCGGTTTAATGCAAATTATGATAAATACAATTTGTGATGCTTTACATTTTGAATGTACCATTTTTGCATTATAATTTCTCAATATGAATCAATTTCAACCCTTTCAGATTTTTTCATGTAGCAGGTTACGTTCAGGATAAACTGACCTCCAGGCCTAAAACTATCCAGGAGGGAGGGCACAGCAGTTTAACTCAGTGCCGAAAGAGTTAAATGGGAACATTAGTGCAGGAAGTTGACTAGATTCATGAAAACTCTCTGTCCTGAGTCTTGGGACACTACAATGCCCAATGGATGCAGATATTCTGACATTGGATTAAGAGCCAGAGATTTTCTTAGTGCACTTTGCACATGTTGTGAAAGTGAAGGATATTCAAATGATGAATGGCCATGTAGGCTCAGATGTGAAATTAAAAAGTTGCCCTTTTTTCCATTTGAAATATCTCAAGCTTTGTTACTGAGCAATGGAAGACAAATTTGTTTCCTTCACATTTACTGCAGAAGTATAAGTGAACATTCAATTATTTGGTATTGGCTGAAATTAAAGGTAAATATTGTTGGGATTATCAGTAAAATCAGTCTCAGTCAATTTCTAATTGCAATAGGTAATGGCAATATTTTGGTATGAGACAAAATGTGAAAAAGCACCTGGAACAAGACCCAAGTCATTCCCTATTCGTTTTATTTTGTTTTGACAAATTTAGGCATGGACCTCAGAAGATTTACTGACACTTTTCTGGATGAATGACTCATTTTTTCCTGTTTATTTTTTGTAGCCTCCAGTTTGACCCAGCACCAAGAAGAGGGGAGCCACATGTCACTCGTCGCACCCCAGATTACTTCCTCTGAAACATGCAAAAACACAAGAGAGAGAGAACAAGGAACACCTCCCCACCCCCCTCCTTCATTCCTGTCGCAACCAGAGACTCGTTCACCTGTGTCACTACTTCCGTACTCTTTGTGTGTCATTTTGTTCTCCTGCCTCTCTCTCTGTTCCCATCCATCCGAAAGCCCCACATCCACATCAGGTGACGGCTTTTCGTGTAGATATACCCATAATTATGCCCGATTTGGGAAAGACCATAAGAACCTGAATAAATTTTCAATGAGGTGTTCTAGTCCCTTCAGGGGGCTGCAGCAAAGGACCAATGATGGCAAGACATGCCGAGGCAACACAAATGGGACATCAATGAATATACCATGAGTGTGCGTGACTGTGTTGACGTGTGTTAAGAACGGAGAACTTAAAGAGAATTTGTGAACATGTGCAAAAGTGAACCTTAGTCAAAGGGATAAAATACAGGCAACAGAGTCATGCTGACTTGTTTTCAGATTCACAGAAGTTTTTTTTTTGTTTCTTTTGAAAGAGAATACAAATGCCATTGTCATGTGGAAAATATGTGTATTCATGCTTCATATTTGGCTGACAAATCTTTGTATAGATGAATTTCTTAACTTGAATGAGGAATTTATCTGTTGAAAGAGCAACCATTACATTGTGTGTTGTATCTGCTTTACCAAAACATGCAAAGTAGTGTGTACTTTGGCACAGATGTAATGATGGGCCTTTACAGGGAGGTGGGAAATTTTGGGAAAGTGGATTTCCCTTGGACCCCAGGTCATGGACTATTTTAAGGATGAAAAAATACCTCATATTTTTATTCTTTGTTGTTGCAATAGGTCAGGTGAAGTTATTTCAGCTGCACTTCTCCAAGAAAAAGAGTAGTAGTTACCATCTACTCCTCCCATGGTTGAGGTTCATAGATGGGAGTCTTGTCTGGGAAAGTTTGCCCTTTCTTCCATGCTATAAATACTGTGCCAGGAACAGGGGCTGGACAGCCCCTGTTGGACAGAAAGGTACATGTGCATAATGTTCAGCAGTTGAGGATATACAATTCCAGTTTACATTTTTCAGTAAAGAAAACTTGAAATAGGAACCTGCCTATGAACTGGCACCTCTACTTCAGTTGAGCATTTTGCTTTGATAAGTTAAGCTTAAATGGTAAAAGAATTCATCTTGCTACCATGATGCTTGATCATGGTGATGGATGATTGTGTTTTTTTACTTGAAAAATTCCTCCAAGTATTTAAAAAAATCACTAATGCAGTTGAGGTCATATTGTTTAAACTACATGGAGTTACTTACAGGGTAGTTTTGTCTTGGCTTATTTCTGCTCCCTGTCGAATTCAGCTGTGTACCCACTGGAGCTGGGCCTAAAGTATTCTTGTTTCCAATCGTAATAGAGAAATGAGTTCTCTGCCTCTTCTTGACCAGGGAGGCGGAAGATTTCTGTCCCGTCAGAAAAATCATTCTGGTCGACTTCATTTCGACAGTCTGGTCTAGAGTAGATGATGCTGCCAGGAAGCGTGATGTTACCGTCGAAATGGATCTGCTCACTCCTTCAGCGAGTAATTTTTTTTTTTCAGTCTGCTCGGTATTCGTGCGGCGTTGACGTGACAGCGGTGGAACGCCCTTCGTCTCTTATTCGGTATATTATACATTAGAGCTATTTCAGGGATCCGCCAGCGTTGGTTAACGATAATGGCCCATACATCCCAGTGCCTTTCAGCCTTGGGTTATTATTTTAAATTAAATCAATTTCTGTGACAGATCTGACGACAAGGGTATTCTCGGAAACACCGTTTTCGAGCTACGAGACGGGAAAACGCCAGGAAGAACGGACTCGATTACTGGAAATTATACCGCATATCGCGATGCATTGGAGGACTCGTGAATCCCAAGTTACCCGACATCGAGATGCTATTTGTCGAATAGCGCGACTGCTCAGGATGGTTAATCCCGTAAGAGTGCTTAATGTCTTTCATCGGCCGACAACCGGACGATCACTTCCTTCCTTGAAATACTCGCTAGGAACGAGGTTCCGAGAATATCTTCAAACCGTGTTCGTTGGTAGTCGCAACGTCGACTCGAAGCCCTCACGTCCACGTCAGAGGCGTGGACGAGCATTCTGGAAACTTCATACGAAGAACCGTTTTGGTGTGCGTACGTACGTTCTGTGCTCTGGTCGTTATCGGGCTTCAGATACTTCCAGACGGTCTAGAAAGTTAATATCTGGTTACGGATGCCCGAGGATTGATTTTCGCTGGTACGGCACGTATTTTTTTTTTCATATATATTTCGTTGGTACATTTATAAACAAAAAAAAAGGCACCAATCTCGAACCGCACGAAAGCCTGTTTGGGAAGGTTCAGGTCATAGTGAATAAATATTCCGTTCTACTCTCGCTTCGCTAGTCACAACGTCGTTAAGACGCATCAATAAGACTCCACGAGGTATTTTCGTGGAAAAGAACACGAAGGCAAGAGAAACCCCATCCCTGAGGCACGACCCATGCATTTCGCCCTTACACGAAGCCCCGAACGCGACACGAAAACATCGCACTGACTCCGCTCCTCACCGTATCGCCCCCTCCGACACAAGAACGCACAAGACCTACGACGGGGCTACCAAGGACGACCATCGTAATCCAATCATGAAGGAATTCTCCACTGTGGAACCTGGGGAGGCTGGGTTCGACGAGTTCCATGCATCGAGTTCATCGACGAGCGAATACGGCATATGCGGGGTTCTTAAAAAGTTAGTCGGCCTATTCAAACAACGGTATCGCGAAAACTGCATCCTAGATCAATGAAATTCGGTGCACGTAGAAATGAGAACGCGTTCCCATGGACAACGACTGTACGCCACCAGAAGCCGCTATATCCGCTCAACGTGTCCATTTGTGTCTGATGGCTCGCACGCGTGGGAGGACATGGTACACATTTGCAGCAGCCGAAAAAAAAATGCAAAAAATTAATCCAGTCATGCGATTAGTGTCAGGAGACAAAACTTTCCTAACGCTCTTCCATTTGTGCCATTCTTCGATTTTTTTTATTCGAAAGCAAAATTTCGTCAAGTATTTAAAAAGTTCCCTTCCGTTCCCCTTGGTAACGTCCGTCAGACAGGCTTCCCCTCCGTCGAAGCATACCGCACAGACACGCACACGAAAGGAAGTCTCCCCCCCCCCATTTCCTTGGAACGCGAGTCTCGCCGAATCGACCGGGTGGAAAATCCGCACGTGACTCCTCCCGATGCGATCTGGAGGGAGCGACTGAACCCACCATGCTCGTATCATCCCCGTCTCCGACGCTCTCGTCTTCCCCCGAGAGAGAGAGAGAGAGATGACCCGATCGAACTCGCAAGACCCGAAGCGCGTCACTCGAACGCCCATGATTCATGCCATCCCGTCTCCCGTAGCAACGAGGCGACGAAGAGCACCCGACCCGGCCTCCATGACCCGCAACGAGAGTGCGGAGGCCGGAACTCCTCCTTCCCCGTCGCTCGCTCGAAACCGCCCGATCGTGGCACTCGACGCGGGAGCACGTAGGAGCGAGCGCCACGTCGTCCCTCCGCGACCGTGATGGCGGCTCGAGAGCCCATTCTCCCGCTGAGATCGAGTGGGTCCGTGGAACTCGGAGACGAATCGTTCGTTTCTAGTGCCTGCACTTCCACGCATCCATTCGCTCCCCCGGTTCGAGTCTCGCTCGTTCGGCGGAACGTTCGCATCGTCGCCTCTGATGCATGCGCACGTGCGCACTCCCTCGCTCCGACCGCGTCGCCGTCTTCTCCGACGCAACGTCGCACTCGAGACGAATTTCTCGTCCCCCTTTCCATCACGCAGGAGGCTCTTGTCGCTCCAGAAAGTGCGACACGAAATCGACGGAACGGGCGTAACGGAAGTACGATTTTACGATTTCGCGGAAACCACCACGCGCAAACCGAAATGGTTTCATTCCGTCGGGTCGATTCATCTGAGATGCCATCCCTCGACGTTCTCAAAAAAAAATCCTTCTGCAAAATCGCAATGCCTCTCCTGGAAGAAGAAAGAAAAAAACAAGCAAACGCCAGCCGACGAAAGAAGCGCGCGCGAGAGAGAAAAAAAGGGAATAAATAACCTGGCGCGACTCCCCGCATCGGGCGAGCACCGCAAAATAAACGACTTCCCGCTTTTCTTGGCCCCGTCTCGTTCGCCAAGGGATGACTGCGCGTCATGGTTGCACCCGAATTTCAAGCTTTTTTTTTCTTTTGCGATTCGATGTCGGAATCGGCGATCGATAGCGATTTTGCTACATCCCCAATAGCACAAGTATGTCTCGAAGACGTCTTAATACTGTCTTCATGAAGAAATAAGACATCTCAAAGACATCTTGACAAGACGTCTCGAATGCCTGCAAATGTCCCCCTCCGAAGATGTCTTCATTTGTTACTTTGAAAGCATATCAGAGATGCATTGAAGATAACTCTTTTTTTTTCCCTGTGCATCCAGTGTAGGCCTTTATACTTGTATACCAACATCCCTTACTTTCTTCTGGCCTAAAAAGCAGGTGCTTTCTCAATGGGCACAGGATTAAGGTGATCATGGCAATCTTGAATGAATGAATGGACCATGAAAGAGGTGCAATGTCTCTTATTTCCTCCCCAAAAATCTGAAATTCAAATTCTGAATTATTTTATTTTGGAAACTGAAACCATTAACAAACTGGATCACTGGTGACTTCTGGGTTAAACTTATCAGAGGCGAAATACACGTGCATCTTGTCAATTTCAATCCCAAAGGAGGGTACAGATACATTTGCGAAATGCCAGATTCATAGCTCAGGTGTTCATCTAGGTTTTGGCTTCATCTTAATTTCCATCATCTTCATCTTGGAAAGCAAAACTTGTCTTCTTAGCTTGCTCTCTGCAACATGGAAAGAGATGACTCTGATTTTGAATCTACTCCACAGGAATGAATAGATCAGATCACCTTCATCACTTAAGAGAATGATTCCCATGACTTCTACTCAAAAAAGAACAAGGTTTGTTCACCAAAACATTAAAACTTACTTTGTCCACTTTGTAGGTGCATTCCTTAGCCAAGTTTTGATGTCTCCCTGAACTTTGTGTTCTGTTGCATCTTTGAAAGCTTGCATGACTGCTTCTGAAAAAACATCAGCAGTTGGAAGTTATAGTTCACAATCCCTTGTTGAAAGAAATGAAAAGCCATTTTTCAGATGACAGAGGAAAGGAAACTCAAGAAAAAGTAAAAACAATGAATGCATGTCCTACATGTCAGCCCAATCAAAGGTATAATTTTTACTCCTTTTAAGGAGTGCTAGTCATTCCAATTTTATTTAGGAGAGTTACAGGAGATAACATACTAACAACCACATGGCATATCTTCACTTTTTTTAATGCAATCTTTGTTCTGGCTCCTTCAAAACTGAAGTTATGAAGGAGACCACTTGTGAAGCACCTTTGCATCAACTGCCATGTCATTTCATGCAAATTCGAGCCACCCAAGCTAGCAAGGTCATTGACCTGAGTGAGACAGGGAACATATCACATGGTTATTGAAAAATGCCCACTTAAGGTAAATAATTCATTA